TGTCTCCCAGGTCTGTCGCTGCTGGTGTCCGCCCTTTTCCGTTGGCCATGTAGCATTTCTATTCATTTGTCTCCTGGGAGATAAATTGAAACGCTGCATGGCCAGCGGAGAGAGAATTGAGAACCTCTAACAGGAAAAGGGCGGACATCAACAGTGACAGAGCTGGGCTGCTCATGTCCCCCCTTTTCCGCTGGCCATGCAGTATTTTTATTCACTCGTCTCCCAGGTGATTTCTGTACTTCGCCAAACAGGTTACTGTTGGGGTTCTCAAGGCTTTCTAGGAGTGTCCGCCTTGCGTGTCCGCCTTCCGTCCGGCTTGTCTCCCTTTGTCTCCCTTCTTGTTGGTCACTGTGTCCGCCTTGTCTCCCTTCTGTTTCCCTTTGTCTCCGGTCTTGCTCCCTTCTTGCATGGTCACTGTCCGCCTTGTCTCCCTTCTGTTTCGTTTTGTGTCCCGCCTTGTCTCCCTTCTTGTTGGTCACTGTGTCCGCCTTGTCTCCCATTTGTCTCCCTTGTCTCCGGTCTTGTTTCCCTGCTTTGGTCACTGTGTCCGTCACTGTGTCCGCTTTGTCCGCCTTTTCTCCCTTCTGTCTCACTTCGTCTCCGGTCTTGTCTCGCTTCTTGCTGGCCTTCTTGTCTCCCTTCTTGTTGGTCATTGTGTCCGCCTTGTCTCAATTCTGTCTTCCTCCAATTGGCTGGATCCCAGGCGGGGAAGGAGGGAAGGAGGGAAGGAGGGAAGGAGGGAAGGAGGGAAGGAACCTTTTGTCTCCCTTCTTGTTGATGTCTCAAAAAGTGGACTTGGGAATGCTTCGTTGCTGTCCCACCTGTTTGGGGTCTACGGTGGTGTAATTTTTTGTTTTTGGGCACGTTTTGGCAGACCAGCCAAAACCAAAAAAACACAAACAATCAAAAGTTCAGACCCATGGAGAGGGACCCAGGAGAGGCTAGACAGGAAACATAGGTCTGTTTTTTAATTTTTGGGAACTTTTTGGTCTAAACTGTTCTTTTTTGTGTGCGTGTCTATTGTTTGCAGAAACTATTTGCATGTGCTAATGTTTGCATATCACTACCCTCACAAAAACATGCGTTTCGACAATCTACACCACTCCACCCCCCATGGCTACCTCTTCTGTATATATATATATACATATTCATAAATACTTTGTAAAATGCTCTTTCCCTTGCTTCGCTGCTCACCCTTCTGCTTCTTGATTCTTGAGTCTTGTTTAGTTTTTGGTGTTTTTTTTGCGCTTGAGTTACTGCAGGTGCCTCCCAGCATGCACAGCTACAACTTTTGCTCTCGCAACGCAGTGCTGCTGACAAGGCCTATGCACAGGCAGGATGGTGCACCAACCAGGCACATTACACTCAAAACCAGGCCTACCCAGAGGCTTCTCCAGTCTGGCAAATGCAGCAAGGTTTATTCATTGCTTGGTTTACCTCTTGTGCAAAAGTGTAGGTACGTATTACTTGGAGGTTTTAACTGTGAGTTGGTGCCCTGCAATCACAGGCGTTGGTCCGGATGCCAGAGCAGGACATGGAAATGTTTTGCAGATGTAAACGAAATCCTGGTATTCAAGCATTGCTTTGTCAGGAGGGAGACGTTGCATCAGAAAGGTCACGAACCTAGCCATCGTGCATCTTCGCTCTGGACATGCAGGGATATGCATAGACATCGTGCAGGTCATATATTTGGACCAAGGATAGTTTGGGCGCTGGAAGGAACATTGTGTTTTTCTTTGACGGATGGTCTTACATACCACGCTTGCATGTGAAAGTTGCTGTGTTTGGGGCCCAAGCCTATCAATTCACTTTTGAGGTAGTCGTCTAAATTTCCTCTATTGTTTGAAGCTCAACACAGAACTACCCCTGCTGGAAGTGACTGGTCGAAGATCATCGTGAAGAACCACTCTTCCAAGATGAGAACAACACTCATGACCACGACACTTCCATGCATGTGATTACCGGAGAAACTGTCCTTCGTTCCTTCCTTTGGTGGAGCCATGAGTTTGGGTTGGCTGACAGAAAGTTCCCTGATTCCAAAAGAGCTGAGCCCTCAGAAAAGCTCAGCTATGTATGACTAGGTTCTTTCAAGCTTTCATTCTATTGTTCTTTTGCCTTTAGCAATGAAGCCTCTTACTTTTTGCTGATCAACTTTTACACCTGAAGGCTTGTAAGTATCAGCCAATGGCACTGCGACATCAGTCAGGCCAAAGCAAATCGGAGGAGTAAGCACCTCTTCTCTGTGAGGAGCTTAGCCAGCAAGCTTCTCCGCGATCCGTTCCATTTGACTTTGGTTGAAGAGGAAGCATGAGGCACAAAGAATGGCATTTGCTGCTTGTCCAAGGCTGAATTTGCAGGCTGTTGTTTACGACCGCGAGCAGCGCGGCAATGTGCCTTCTGCCTGGTCCTTGCATCTCTGAAATTCTGCGCAGACAGCTCATCTGTAGAAGGGTGGCCTTGGCTGAACTGAAATGAATAAACTCGGGCAGACAATTTTCCACGATTCAACATCTCGTAAAGCTTCAGCAGAACTGCACTTTCTTGTTTCCTAGATGGACAGAAAAGCCTCGGGGGCACTTTTGCTCCTTGCTTCCTTACATAATACAGTACTGTTGCTGCCCCTCCCACCTCCTTTTCATCTTTGATACCAATCAAATCATCTCACAGGTCTTTGGCGCAAGTGTGAGTCCCTCCCTTTGTGTTTGTCCATTTGCGTTGCTGCCATGGTGGAAATTGTCATGCGAGCAATCTATTGAGGAAATTTATACTAGGGAAGAGATCGCTACTAAAGTTAGGTCGAATCGTGTCAGCTTTGGTATGGACCACCTCTCCTCTTGGGCAAGTTGATGTCATTTTTCTTGTGGAAGCTTTCATTGCGATTTAGAATGGCCACTCTAATCCTTGAGTTTGACTCCGTGCTCCTCCCAGATGAGAATTTCACTATACCACCTGCCTTCTGCTGGATTGGGGTCCCCAGCAACTGGATCTCCGCCTTGCCTTGCAGATCCACTTTTTATATAGATTTGTCCAGGTGGCGTTTCATTCCTTCTGACTTCTCACAACCAATGTTTGACTTGGCGATTCTGTTTGGAGAGGCTCCAGTTAGACACCCCTGAAGGATTGATTGCTGGCTTAGGCTATGCACTGACGCGCCCAGGTCACACCTTTCAATTCCAGCCCCTGCAAAGGGTGCATGTGAGCGAACATTTTCGAAATTTATTTCCGAGGAATCTTGTACATAAACGCTGCGCTCTCTCCTCTTGTGCCTGCTGACGTGTAATCCGTTGGCTTCTGCTTGTACATTACGCTTGAAAATAAGTAATCTCACAGCAACTCAGACAGTGCTGTGTGTTGGGCGGGGTTTGTTACGTTGTGGTTGTGGTATTTTGTGCTTGTTTGTGTTGCCTGCTTGGGTCATGTATGACCTCAGCCGGGCACAATACTTTTGAGTTTGCTGATGTCAACTTGTCAACTCACATTTCTCTATACCTCGATTCACACCCCTTGTCATTCTACTCACCTGCTCTTCCTTTCACTTATATACTATCTAGAGCCAGTCCTTCTTCTGGAATGTTCTTGGTCCACAATCTTGCTCAACGTGTTATCATATGACATCCATAACCACAGTTTTAATATTACCATGCTTGTCTTTCCCAACTTGCCCAACTTCCCGAGTCTCTTTGTCTCACTTTGAGGCAAAGCGCCGCAAAGCAGCAGTCAGGAACCCAGGACTCACAGACTAGCAGAGGTGTGTACTTACGAGGACGACCCTCAGGCATCAACATACAAATTGATCGGTTCCAAATTTGACGCTTTATTGCTTATCACACGTGTTTTTTGCAGGCAGAGGCCAAGGCTCGAAATGATGGCGTTCACAGCTGAGCATGCCTGGAATGCGTAGAAGCAGCATACTCCGTTTCAAATGATATTGGAAAAGCACCTTGTTTGAGTTGATGGATGAATCAAAGAGTTTCGGCCAATCGAAACGACATGAACAGCTCTTGACGCTTGCAATGAGGTAGATGCACGAAATGCTCGGGACCAGCAGCAACAAACTGCGGAAGACAAGCCTGGACCCCTCAGCCAGCGCAGCTTGTGATTTGTCAACTGCCCAGGTGTTGGATCCTTTGGGTGGTATAATGGATGAATATGGCATAATGGTGTATTGCATAAAAGGACATAAGAAGGTAAGGGCCCTTCTTATTCCCCAGATAACTAGAGCTATTGGGGTTGTTACTTCAAGCATAGGAAGCAGTGCTTGTGTGCGCTTTGGAGCTTGGGTGATGGTGCCGCTGCAGGGTGCCGTGTTTTGCTGCCAGATGTCTATGGCGGTGCAGCCTGGATGCGGGTGCAGTTGCAGGGTGCTGCGGCCGCCCGCAAATATGTTTTGCAATTTGGGATCTATGCTGGCGTAACTTTTCTTCTCTTTTGCAATTTATATTTTATTGTTTTTTAAGAGCCCTACTGTGCGTTGAGCTTCGTTGCCAAAATTTCGAGCTTCGCCGCGCCACTTGTGTGCTGGATTGGTGGCCATTGAAGGGGCTTGAGCATGAAAGGACCGGAGCTGCTGGCAATATGTTGACTTTGGGATTGCATGCTGCGAGAGGGCTGAGTGATTGACTGCCATGGTGCTCACCAGTGCCACAGCAGCGTGGCTTGAGGTGGTGTCACCAGCCTGGCGTAGTACTAGTAGGCACTGGGCATGTTGAGATCGAATGCAGTCAGTCTCACAAATATTGCAAAGATCCATGTTCCAACAGGCCTTGGCTTCCCTTTATGATGATGGGGAGCTTGCTCGGTTGTGACTGCAAAGAGCAGGTAAACTCTAGGAGTCCATAGACTCAGTGAACAAGCGGTCAACGAACAGATTGATAATTGTAATATAGTCCAACGATGGTTTTTAACTTAACTATCCCATTTATCACACCGAAGAGGGTGTCTTCAGCACCGAGCAGTTCTTTGCATGTCCTTGATTAAGGCCTGACCTTGTTCGAGCCTGCCTTGAGGAGAAGGCCAGAAGGCAAGGTGGCAGCACTCTTTGTTTCTCAGAAAGGCAATTTGTCAGCTTGCTCGTGAGATCAGAGCGATAGAGGTACGAGGCCCTTGCTGCAGGATCAGCATCAACAGAGAAGGCACATTCTGCTTCGGAATGAGTGAGTCTGGGAGTTACCTTGGCAGTACAGCCAACCAATTTGGCTTTCTTGACTCTTCACAAGTACAAGCAAATTGGGACAATGTATCCAGCGTGTGTAGGACTGTGTAGGTCAACTGGTTTGAGGCTTGTGTGCAGCAAATTCTTGTTGGTCAAAGATGCACAGGATGAGCCTCTTGTGGACTTTCACAGAAAGCGGTCGCAGGCACCTCTTCAAGTCTGTGCTCGTTGACTTTGAGTCAACATGTATGGTTTTGTTTGATTGAACACACACACAGATATTATATATATGTATATATATATACATACACACTCTGACATTGGTTTTCAGTTAATCTATTCCCAAGTGGAAAAATGGCAAAGGAACGGCAAGGCGACAGGTCCAAGAATTTGAAGATGTTTCAACAATGGTTTTGCGCACATCTGCAGTTCACGAACGCGCGGCAGCAGAAAGCGGCTGAAGGAAAATGGTTTGGGTGAAGTATCGTGGAACAACCATGAAAGCAAAGAAGAGAGATTGGAACGGCTTGGTCAAAAGTTCAAAGCTGTCGCAGGTACGTGAGTCGAGCGACCTCGACTCATATCACAGGAAACGTGCAGCGTCTTCGTTGGTCGCTGACTGCACGAATCCCAGCGACCCCCTGCAGAAACACGAAACAAGGAGCGGAAACCCTTA